TTTTCTCAGTTTTAATTCCTAATGTAGTAAACATTTGCACACATTAGCCACATAAACCAGAGCTCTTTTCTTTAGAGTTTTCAATACTTTTAGAGGGTAAATGGGTTTTTAGAACAAAATGTTTAAGAACCTCTGCCCTAAATGAATCAAGTCTGATCTGAATATAATACCATATGCTTTGATTGACACTGAAAATACTTTTCCTAAAATAAATTATAAAGAAAAGTAATGAACTAGAGAGAACTCTAAAGCACCCCTTTGCATCCCCTTTCTCACTGGCATTTTGAAGTAGAAAGTAGAAAGGTAAAATCTCATTTCTGAGTGACATAAGTTTCATAGCGATGAAACAGATTCTATCAGATACTGCAAAACATCAGTACAACATATGCATAGCTACACACAACTATTTGGTTCCTTAAGTCAAGAGCTTTTTGAACCATTATATAATCTGTTAATATAACAGTGTCAAAGACTAAGCTCCTAACGGAAAATGTAATGAAAGAATTATCACTAATTTAAGTAAAATAGATGATTCTTCTACTTAGTAGAATAAAACATGAAGAATCAAGATATAAACCATGAGTTACTTTGTTCCAGAATGTGTACATGTATATTGTAGTATTGTACCTGTATTTTATCTGAACGAATTATTTTTATGTGGTAAAGTTACCTTAATGTTAAAGTTCACACACACACACACACACACACACACACACACACACACACACACACACTCCTGCTGCTGTATATCAGTTTAAGAATCAAAATTGATATCAAAGCCATCTAACCTAAAAAGAATAAGAATTTCAAAACACCTATGCTACTTGGCTTTCAGTTGCTGGGTTACTAAATGATATTGAAACAATTATGCAAAAAACTCTGCTATATAAAAGCTATAATACCTCTTTATCTCATTATCATTTAAATGTTAAATGCTCCATTATAGAGGTAAATTGGGTTTAAAATAGAATGTTTCAAGCAGAAGAGCAAAAAATATAAGGTTAAGCAGAGTGAGGAACCAGAGCTTCAATTTGTGGTAGAAAGCTTGCTAGGGCATGGATTGATCTTCTGATATACTAAGAAAGCCAGACCCTCTGACATGCCCTATGGAGAGTAAATATACTGATCTGGAACAAAAATTATGTGAAACAGCTGTTAAGTGACAGAAGAAATGTGCATCGGACCACCAGCCTGTCATAAATATTGCACTCTTAATCAGAAAGCATCTGTCTTTTCATTTCCTTTTCAGCAGTCTCTGCATTGTTTTTAATCTGTGCAGAATGCTTCTTCTAACAGGTGCATCAATGTTTACAAATTGAAAACCTTATTTAAATGAAACTTACAACTAGAGACATTTCAATTAACAGGGCAATATTTTATGAGAATGAATAATTCTAGCATTTGGAAAATCCATACATTGCTTTGCATTTGTGAAATTTAATTATTGGAAAATTAGTCTATAGACCTCAAGAAAAACTAAAGATGAAATGTTCTTCCAGCAATCTATGCAATCTATAAGCACCCAGAGACACTACAGGGGAAAGGTACTGGTGGGAATATGGAAACATGAAATATTGGGGACTGATGTTATAAAATGTCATGTTACATCAAAAAAGAATTTTAGAATAATATCCCATGTGTCCATTAAAAGTGGTGTCTGTGGCACTACTTTGTTTTCCTAGAGTTTTTTTTTCCTATTATCATTATTAGCTTGTTAAAACTGACCATAATAGATCTATAATCAATCTGCTGGATTAAAAAATATGGCAGAAATACTAAACTTAGCATTATAATCACCCAAATAAAATTTAAAGATAATTTCTGCAAAAACAGGAGTATAATCATAAACTTAGCTCATTTAGAACACATACAATTTATAAAGTGAAAAGGACTGCAGAATTATCCACTTTGGCTCTTTCACTCAAAATGAGTGCAGTGATAACAAACTCAGTTCCTACAGGGGCTAGGAAGGTAATGTAGGCAACATAAGTCTGGTGAAACATGTGGCTTTTTAGGTTGATTGTTTCATTTCCCAATTTGTGATAGCAACAGGCATTAAGAAATATTCTTCTTAACTGCACTCTAGGACAAACAACATGGCACTCCTTAAAAAAGAACATGGGAAGCTGGTGAGTAATGCACAAGTTAGCCAATTGTTTTCATGGGAGAAGCAATTTTTTAGTAAAGCTCAGGGCAAACAAAATATATCTGTGAACTGGATTTTGCCCTTGGGCTTCCAATTTGCAAACTTCAGTGTAATAGCTGAGAATACAGGCTTATGTTAAACAGATCTAAAGTCAACTACTATCTTCGCTATTGATTAGTTTTATGACCTTGGATAAGCTACTTGATTTTAAGCTTCATTTCATTCTCAGCAAAATAAGTGTTAATAATAAAAGCTGACTCATTAGGATATTATAAATATTAGGTAAGAGGAGATAAAAATACTTAGCACATCAAATACTCAGTAAGTTGTAGATGTTATTTTATATATGATATGCATTATATATTACATGATATGTAAAAATATACATACATTATATTTTTATATCTAATAGTAAATTCATGAAAAAGCTCTGATTTCCTCACCTGCTTTCATAATTGACATGGAATAAATATTCTTTATATCATGGATAAAGCCTGTCAATGTTTATAATTCCTGTCAGTGTATACAGTTATTTATTATAGGTTAACACAGAAAGCAAATGTTATTATTTGTTCTTGTAAGAATTCACTACACAAAATTATCTCATCTGAAGCATTTATATTTTGCAAGGAACAAATCCATTAAAATTTTTTTCCACACTAAAGCATTATAAACAAGGTCATTTGTTAAAAAGCATAGGAGATTCTCTTTAATTGCTTTTTTAGAGACAAATATAATAAAAAATAATTTTGCTGATGGGAGTTAAACATTTGGGGTATCATTTGAAAAACTGATGAGCTTTTTCAAACTAAGCCAGTTCTAGTAAATAGACTTTAGCCACAGGAGTTTCACTGTGATAACAGTGCCTTCTTAGAACTTCACTGTGACCTGTTTCCAAATCTCTCTACTGACACCTCAGATTCTCTAACTGATCCTCATTAGATCCCATCGCTTCAGCCTTAGAAGTTTGTTTTCTCTAATAATTAACAAACTCCCCCTTTCCACTAAATGCGTTCTTGTCTAAAAAGTACAGAAATTCTTCCACTAATAGGTTGAACCTACAGTTAGATAACCATACCTATCACAATAGCTATGGTTGATGGAGAACTTATTATATGCTCAATATTAGCTAAGTCCATTACATGCAGTCTCATTTAATCCTTACCAGGGCTCTATGAAGTAGATTCATTAAGTATACCAAGGTTCCTTATCTGTAATGTAAAATAATTCTGAAAGAGTTTAACTCATTTGTCCAGTAAGTTTCAGAGTCAAGAGTTAAGTATAGACCCATTCCTAAGGCTATCCTATTCTATCTGCTTAAATTCTTGGCTTAAAATTCAACCAGGATGAATTAGATATGTATGGAAAAAAAGCTATCATTCAACATGTTAACATGACATGAGCTGGATGAGCTGAGATGGGAGGATGATGAAGAGATATTAAAAGATAGCAAGCAGGAGAGGTGCCTGGGTGGCTCAGTCAGTTAAGCACCCAACTTCGGTTCAGCTAATGATCTTACAGTTCGTGAGTTTGAGCCCCAAATTGGGCTCTCTGCTGTCAGCACAGAGCCCACTTTGGATCCTCTGTCTCCCTCTCTCTTTCTGCCCCCCACTTGGTCACGTGCACACTCTCTCTCTCTCTCAAAAATAAATAAACATTAAAAAATATAAAAGATAGTAAGCAGGAAAATTAAAAATGAGTTAACGCCTTAATACATTGATTACATTTAAGTGTTTATAGTAGGCTTGGTAAAAGATAAGATACCTCTACACATGTATCCCATTTTTACCCAACAATAGCAGATGAAAATACAATTTAAAAAAAGATAAATTATAATAACTTTTCCATTATCCAAGAATTCATCCCATTACAATAGGATTCACCCAGAGTTTTTCCCTCCGTGAATTTAAGTTGTTAGTGACCATTAGCTGTTTACAGAGGAACTAAGGGATGAGCGTGGGAGATGAGCTACAGAGAAACATACAGCTAAATATCCCTGAAGCTAGCAGAAATCAAGATATTATGTGTCTGAATTTGAGCCTATAAAAATGCAATTCAAACACAACTTTTCAGGAGCATCTACAGTTGAAGAACAAAGCAGGCTTTAATCTATTTTTCAGCCACAGTTTTGTCAATTTAATAATCACCTCCAACAGGCCACCCCATGTTTCAAATAGCTCCCAATAAAGCATGTACAACTTGTGAAAGGCAAAATATCTCAACAGGTTTGGTTTTGCAGAGAACAAGTTTCCTGTGACATAATTATGAGACAGATCAAAAGGTTTGAAGGCCAACAGATGGATGAACATAGACTTAGTTAAGATAAATCAGGCCTCTGTGATAATCTTGGGGAAAAAGCCTCCTATCCTCACAAAAAAGTAGTATCTTTTTGGGCACGCAAACTATTGACAAACTTTGGGCAGCTAATCCACAAGACTCACATTAATATACAGCACGTGAAACACATTTTCCCTTGGGCAAGGAGAGGAGAATCTATTGCACATGTCATCTGTTTCTGTGAATACTGAAGATTACAATTATGTTTTGATGTTAATCCAACTACTGCAAATTTCTTGTTGCGAAGCACACTGTGAAAATGTGAGTGACAGTATAAATCTTTTTAAATTGAATTCAACACTACTGAAAACAGCTGATGTTTTCAAATACTGTTACAAAGCCTCTGAACAACAAGAATAACTCTTTAAATGAAGCAGCTCCCTATAGTGACCTATTTGGTAAGAAAGCAAACAGCCAGGATAAAATCAAATTCTGCATATCTGCTATATGTGTGTGTGTGTGTGTGTGTGTGTGTGTGTGTGTGTGTGTGTGTGTGTATTATTTTAGGAACAATCACCTCTAATGCTGTGATGTCCTCATAGGCAAACTGCACGGTGGGAATTCCAAGATGGTTGATGAAATAATCAGCATCACCTTCTATCTGTACAGAACTGACATTGGTTTCTTGACACTTAGCTCTTCTGGAGCAGTTGAAATTATTTTTCTGAAAAACATAATTTAAATTGTTAGCATACATTGTGCTTCTTGGGATACCCCAAAATCAGTGCTACTCAAAATGTGGTCAATACATTGGCTGCATCAATGTCATCCAGGAACCTGCTGGAAATAAAAATGCTTAGGCTCCCCCCTTGTCCTCCAGAATTGGAATGGGAACCTTTGAGGATGCAGCCCAGGAGCCTACCTGGTAACACTTCCCTATGGTTCTGATGCTCACCAAACTGTGACTAGTGCTGGCTCAAATCAAACTCTGCTTGCTGTTGGTGCTTCACAAATATTTTTATCATAGATTATTAAGAACTGTAATGACTCTTTAATTTGAAATATTTTAAAATGATGTTGAGCCCCTAAAAAGTTTAGACTTTTTTTTTTCAAGTTTTCCAATAAATTTAAAGGAAGGCTTTGCAGGTTATAATTCCATTCTTCTTAGAATGATTTTTGAAAACCACAGAAGAAATTTTCTCCATTTATTCTTTGTTTAAAATTATTTATTTATTTATTTTGAGAGAGAGAGAGAGAGAGAGAGAGCGAGCATGAGCACGGAAGGGGCAAAGAGAGAGGAAGAGAGACAGAATCCCAAACAGGCTCCCTGCCACCAGCACAGAGCCCAGTGAGGCACTTGGACCCATGAATTGTGAGTTCATGACCTGAGCCAAAACCAAGAGTCGGATGCTCAACCAGCTGAGTCACCCAGGTGCCCCTCCATTTATTCTTAAAAGCATATTCCCTTAAGTCTCAAGTATGAAAATTTTATGAAAAAATGCCAATCTCCTCAGCAGTAATTATGAGAAAAGTGAAACAACAGCAATGAGAACATCACATCTCATGTCCAGCATAATGTATTCAATATATGTTTGTCATTGAATCAAGACATTGGCACTTTGGGGTGCCTGGGTGGCTCAGCCGGTTGAGCATCTGACTTCAGCTTAGGTCGTGATCTCACTGTTCATGGGTTCAAGCCCTGCAATGGGTTCTCTGTTGTCAGTGGGGAGCCTGCTTTGGATGTTCTGTCCCCCTCTCTCTCTGCCCCTCTGGTTTGTGCTCTCTTTCTCTCTCAAAATCAAATAAACATTAAAAAAAAGACATTGACTCTTCAACCATACTCCCCCCCCCCCGCCATGTTTCTTTGGTATGATATAATTTCAAAAATACTTTATGTATATAACTGATCAAAAATTTAGAAATGTGTAGTTTAATATTTAGAACATGAATTGTTACAACTTTTTTCAACTACAGGGCTAGATTTTCCAAACATATAATAATGTTTCAAAACCTATCCAATTTTCTTTGAGGACCTAATGGAAAGATCTTTGCAACAAAGTGAAAATCACTTCAAATGGAAAGCCTGTGTGAGTGAGCATTTATAAATGAGACAAGCTTCCATTTTAATGTTATTTATAAATACCTTGAGTAATGAAAAAAAAACTAAAAATTTTTATAGTGAACCCTACCAAATTGTGTCTTTTGAAAGCCTGATTTTCTGAAAAGAGAGCTCATTCTCTTTCATTTCCTGATACACTCCTGGGGCAAAGATTCCTGAAAGTTTTAGATCAACTTGGGACAGTTTAGGTAGAGTTTTCATATTCCCAAAAAAAGAGCCACCCGTAAGTACTGGATTATAAAAAGCAAAGGCACTACTTTATGTCATGCACAAATTCCAAGTATTTTTGACAGATTCAGCTTTTGAGAACTGGCACCTTTGAAGGTATTTGTTTAGTCAATGTTTTTGTTCCTAATTGAATTTTGAATGTCTTGGGCAGACAAGATAGTTACCAGTTTCCCATCACTGGTGTCTCACGCTCAGCCTGCTTCACTCATTCAAATTCACAGAATGGTGGCCACATGCATTTATATTTGTGAAACCTAGACTGTTACACTCTTATGTTTTTATTTTAAAAAAAAATTTTTTTTTCAACGTTTATTTAT